AGATTGTATAATATTCTTTTTATATTTTTCCATGTAGTTCATTATCTATTTGAACATACACCTGTTGTAGAATTGTGTATACCTGTCCTGTGCAACAGGTGGCTGTGTTGATGGAACTGTTTGAATGATAGTTGATCAGTAGTGAGCCATATTTATTCAAAAAGATATCACTACATATTACTTTGCTTATTACAATTGCACTATGGATTATTCTTCCTTTATTTCCTGATGATGTACAGAATCAAAATCTTAAATCTTTCAAGGAAAACAAGACAAGTTGAATTGGCCCAGTTATCCAGTTTAATTTGTCCTTTTTGTAGCCTTTTGCTATGCACGGTACTCGTAAAACGTACATAACTTCTGAGTATTATGTTAGACTTGCTGAAATCTTATATTCAGTACCATTTCTAAAATGATAATGGTTATAGAATGGTTGTTCGTGTTCATGTTTTATAGGAAACTGGAAAAGAATATATGATATACTCTGGAATTTTTAGATGAAAGAGATGATGTCTCTTAATTCCTACATATGATCCTACTGACTGCTTAAACTGTAATAGCATCTGACTATATCAAAGTTAAGGGCCTTCCAGTTTTTACTACAATTTCTGCCTTGGAGAAAGAAGAGGGAAAATTGGTTGTACAAAACTCTGGAATTTATGAATCTTACATAAAGACTAATTTCAATAGACTGGATTTGGGTACACTTGGCCCTTTAGTTGTACATTCTGTGAATTTTGAAGCTCATTCTTCTGCTGACTGCAGATCTGGGCTCCATTCAGAGGCCTGTGGTAAATCTACCTCTTGGTGATGCTATGACAATTTTGATTAATGGTTAATGCCCAGTTCTGCACCCGTTATAGGGCCAGATCCATTTTAAGATGTCTGCAGAGCTCCATGGTACATCTTGAAATGCATTCTGAACAAAGGCTGCAGTGCAATAGGTTTGCTCTGAAGCCTGCAGGGAAGGGAAGACAGTGGGGGGCTTCACCTTCCTGCTGTACCATGCATTTAGCTGATTTAATCCTCTAAACTGCTTGGAAAAAGATATCCTTGATTATTACTCCAAAGTGATTCAGTTGAGACACAAATCCCTGACTTCTTGGAATGCCTTATGCAGTTCAGATCTGTAGGAAACACTGATAGAAGCAGTTTACCTGGCTTTGTATTTGTTTACTTGTACTAAAATACAAATGCACTGAAATCTGAAGTACTTTGTATTTTAGTGGCTGTTTTGGCAGGGCTTGAGATTATGGTGGTCCAAGGGCTCTGTGTCCAGATCCAGTCACCAGAGAATTTTCATCATATGGAGATGGGAGGACTAGATATTTTCAGATGTTTTCTTTTTTTGTATACCTCTGTGTTAATTTTGATTTTTAAGTCTGTTTTAAAAATGACAAGAATATGTTAACTGGTTTTTTTCCAATGTTATTTAGCCCTTAAACCAGAATGGCTTCCATACTGATTAAAAGGGAATGATTTAGTTAATAATGTTGTTTGAAGTTGCCAATGAATTGAGATATCTTTTTCTGATGAGGCACTCAGGTTCAGAGTTAGTCAGAACTGTTCTTCAGTATGAAGTGAGGAACTGAATTTTCCTATGGACCTTTCCTAAAACATTATTTAGAAGGCAAAGTCAAGTAGTTCTTAATACAGGCTTACAGTATATACTGTAGAGGGTTTAAGGAAGCTGTGCACGACTGAAAATATTTTAAAATATTGGTAATAGACCTTGTGCACAAACTATTGCTTAGGAACTCCATAATTCCAACATTACACTCCTTGATACAGCTAGATTTAGGGTACCTCATCTGTCTTTAAATTTTCACCATAGTAAGAATGAAACTCCATAATGGTCTGCAGGGAACACGTGGGCTTGTCTGCCTTATGTGGTGAAAAACTTGTCAGACCTGGAGTTCAGCCTTAATTTTGAATCATTTTATTTAAAAAATAATTCTGGGTTAAATAAAAGCTTATGCTCCAGAATGTTGTCATTTGGTTGTGCATTTTGTTCCTTGTAATTCTGGAAAATCAGATGTTTATCTTGCACATCAGGAATTTCCTTTGCTTGACGGAAATCTAAGATGCTTTAACTGGGTTTAAAGAAAAGCTTACACAGGAAGTAAAAGTTTACTCCTTTGTCCAAATGGACTCATTGCTAATGAATTGCCAAAGGAGCATTTTTTTCCAAAACAAGATGTGTATGATATTAAGCAAGGTAATGTCCTTTTTAGCTGTTCAATGAAGAGAAAGAAATATTTAAAGTTAACTCAGATCACTTAAATTTTAATTCCAGTAATCCAGTAGGCTGGATTGCAATAATATAAACTATCTTTTGGGGTAAAAAAATAACACTTAAAGATCTGATCAACTACTAGCAATACTTAAATATCTGCCTGGCAGTTAAGTGGCACAATGAAGATGAATCAGTAATTCCAACATGTTACATTATAATGAGGGGATTTGTTCCAAATCATTCATTACATTCTATGTAATTTCTTGCACTAGCTACTTAAGCCTGGTCTCCATTTTAGAAGTACATGTATCTATTTTCAATGGTTTATTATGAGGACTGGTTACAGCTTAATTCCTTCTCTAGTAGAATACCTGGATTGTTTGAATAATGAAGGCATTGTCTCAATTTGGCTACTAAAGGTATTTAAAAGATCTGGTTTTTCCCACCTAAAGAGGTTTATTTGAACATCAGGATCTGTAGTGAGAAGCCAAGAGAGCAACAAGTGTGTCCAGTTTCAGTGGGAACACCTGTACTCTCCCAAATGCCCCAGCTGCAGATACACTGTGTATAACTGCATTTATGGAAATGAGCAGATTTAAATGTTTTTTCATATCCTTGTTGATGCACTACTGAAAGCCATTTAAGCCTCATTCTTTTTATCAGTATTTTTAGCAGATTTTTATGTAATACTCAATCTTTCATGAGGAGGCTGGTTGGTAGAAAGAGGTTTTTTTCACAATTAAGCACTATCCTAAAATGTCAGCATTGTCAAGTGTCAGTGACTTGGCTATTTGTGTTGGAGTTGGTGAAAGGTGGAATTCAAGTACATTAGCCTTATAAGAAATAGCCTTAAATAAGAATGGAGTTACTTCAAAAAAATTACTTCAGCTTTAAGTCATACATGTTAATGGTTTTGGTACAAAATGGGAAGAAATCTAGAGGAGAGTCAAACATCATATAAACTTATTGAAAATAAGTATTTGTAATACCAGCAGCCTGTTTTTCAGAAACTTGAATATGACTTACAGTTAGTTTTGTTTATGAAATTGTTTGAACTTGCACAGATGTAGGTGTAACTTAAATGATAAATGGTACTGATATGTGTGTATATATAATGTTCAATTCTATTTGTAAATGAGAAACTATGTAACAAAATCATAGGTATGAGGTTTTCCTATTGTAATTTAATACAGGTATGAGGTTTATGGCAATATATCATAGTTAATGAACTTTCAGGTCAAAATGTCTTTAAATTGTGTACATTTTTAAATTGTAATTTCTACTGTATATTGATTATCATGCATAGTGTGATTCAAGAAACTGCTTGTAATTTAAAAATATTTAATATTAAAAATAAAATACAGTTATATATTTATAATCTCTTTGTCTGTTTGTTCATTTTTAAACAGATGCCAGCAGTGTAGTTCTACTGTAAGATATATTTATTAGTCTCCTGAGGTTGAGAAAGTTCCAAAAGTTCAAAGCCACAGTCCCAGCAGATGAGCCCGTGCTAAATAGCGTAGTCACCTTTAAAGTCTTCCAGTATCATCAACCTTGTGAGAATTTCAGGTAAAGTGTGTACACAGTCAGTAGAGAAGCAATAATTAAAAAAGAAACAGTGTCATTCTGAATACTGAATTTTGCTTTCAATCATAGAATTAGAAATCTGTAGGAAGAACGGGAATTTTTGAAATTTATAACTTCAGAAAACAGGTTACTGATGTTTTCTCAGTGTTCACTGAATTTCTTCCTAGAAGAGTTGCTTGGTTTTTTCCATCTAAATTCATGTGCTGAATGGACCAAAAATCACCAGGTAAATAAATGAAGTGCTGGTGTTCCCTGGGAGCTGCCTTGGTGAGATGCTGTGGCTGTTCTGGGTTGGGCAGGAGGAGAGGGCAGTGCTGGTGTTCCCTGGGAGCTGCTGTGGCTGTTCTGGGCTGGGCAGGAGGAGAGGGCAGTGCTGGTGTTCCCTGGGAGCTGCTGTGGCTGTTCTGGTCTGGGCAGGAGAGGAGGGTGCTGGTGTTCCCTGGGAGCTGCTGTGGCTGTTCCAGGCTGGGCAGGAGGAGAGGGGGGTGCTGGTGTTCCCTGCTCTCCGGGAAGGAGGGGACAGCCCAGGCAGCCCTGGCAGTGTGGATGGAGGCTCTTGTGGAAGCCCCCACCTCTCACGGCAGCTGTTGAGTGCTGGCGCCTGTTGTGACCTGGGAATGAGAAACTGATATCAAGATGACTTAACTTCATTAGGTAAAATATAACTACTGGGCTGAAATTTGACCAAGGCAGTGGTCATTAATGAGAACAGATGCAAAAGATCCCATGGCACTAAATTGGTCACCTTATATAGAACTTATTATCAAAGAATTTGAGAACTTGCAGTCTTTATGAGCAGCAAGTTCTCAAAGAGATGGCAGTGCTGTGTCTGTGGGGCTGTGTCAC